TATTTTAAATGGCCCCTATGCTACTTTATATTTTACTATAGTGTATATAAATGTGTCCTCTAGTGGATTCAATAGCTAAAACATTTAAATTTAAAAAAAAAAATTTATTTTGACCAGGTTTTTCGCAATCTGGCCCATTGTACGCTGGGTTTTCCGGGGGCACAAAAGCATTAACCCTTTAAGGCCCGTGGTACATACGCTGTACCACAAATTCGTTAAAGTCATCATAACTTTGAAAATAATAAATATTATTCAAAATTTCAAATTTCTAGTTGTAGTCAAACTATTCCAACAAGTAAAAAACATGAAATAGAAATAAATAAATTATGCATTAATTAATAAACTATAAAATAAATAAATATAACAGTACCAAGATTTACCATAAATTTCTTTTACAGTGTAACAAAAAATAAAAAATTACAAATGAAATTAAAATAGGTATTATTATTATCAGACTTGTTTTTGGGGTCGCTGATTACGAATCTGAAGTCAGAATTTAAAAATTCAAAATGGCGGATCCAATATGGCCGACGACTTTTTGAAAATCTAATGCAATTCGCATGAAACTTGTTACTCGGGGGTTTTTGGGGTCGCTGATTACGAAATGGGTATTAGTTTTTCAAAATTAAAAATGGCGGATCCAAAATGGCGGACGACTTTTTGAAAATCTAATGCAATTCGCATGAAACTTGTTACTCGGGGGTTTTTGGGGTCGCTGATTACGAAATGGGTATTAGTTTTTCAAAATTCAAAATGGCGGACGACTTTTTGAAAATCTAATGCAATTCGCTTGAGACTTGTTACACGGAGGTTTTTAGGGTCACTGATTACCATTCACCATCAAAGGCAAGTGTAGAAAATGCTTCGGCCAGTAAAGGAAAGAGTAGAAAGTTATCCCGCCAGTGAAGGCAAGAGTAGAAAGGGAACTGACCAGTACTGGCAAGAGTCGAAAGGAAACCGACCAGTGAAGGCAAGAGTAGAAAGGGAACCGACCAGTAAAGGCAAGAGTAGGAAATGATCCGGCCAGTGAAGACAAGACTGGAAAAGGAACCGACTAGTAAAGGCAAGAGTAGGAAACGATCCGGCCAGTGATGGCAAGAGTAGAAAGGGAACCGACCAGTAAAGCAAGAGTACGAAATGACCCGCCAGTGAAGGCAAGAGTCGATAGGGAACCGATCAGTAAAGGCAAGAGTAGAAAAGATTTTTATTTGTGGTATTGAGAGAAACAATCAACACAAAGTGCTACCTTGCACACAGTGCAGATCGTTTTTGTTCGAGATTGTTTCTTTTGCTTCTTATAGCAATAAACACATCTTCTTCTTGTAGGTCCAATTTTAATTTCGTGACTTTTTTTCGACTTCCGAATCTGATCTTTGACTTTTGTAATTTTAACAGCGGTTGGTCGTCCGCGTTTTTTGGTAGATGAAAAATTACCTATCATTTGTCTTGCCAAATTTATCCGGAATAACAGTTGATCGGTTTGTTTTTCACCTTTGCCTGTCTTCCATAGAATAGATGCGTTTACTATCGCTAAGTCAATTAGGAAATAAAGAATTCTGTGCCATCATTTTCTTGACCTATGACCAAGAGCGTAGCGTTCTTTTTTTTGATCGAATAAATCGACGCCACCCATATAGCGATTGTAATCATCAATGGCTTTCGGACATGGAACTTTACTTTTAGAACCGTCTTTATTTTTCCTATTCACTTCAGATACACTTTCAGGATTATGAGCTGTTGTCAATATTGTGACTGATTTTGAATCTTGCCATTTTATTGCTGCAAGACAACCTTTTGTCCGAAACAGATACTCACCTCGTTGCATCTTATCCTTCTTTTTCATCATGTCTGGTAGATTTTTTCGGTTTGATCTGACGGTACCGACTGCAAATATTCTCCTAGCTTGAAGCTGATACATTAGCGATACTAAGGTGAAGAAATTGTCAAATGTAATTAAATTATTACTGTTTCGCAAATTTTTTGTTAAATTTAAAACAACTCACTCACCTAGACTATCGCCTGATGAATCAATGGTAGTCGATTTGCCGGTATAAATTTCAAATTTTTGGACATAACCCGTCTTAGAATCAGCTAAAACCCAAACTTTGTAACCTCTTTTGATGGGTTTCTGAGGCATGTATTGCTTCAAGCTTGAACGACCCTTAAATTTTATCATAGACTCATCAACAGATGAAATGTTTGAATGGCGATAAGCTCGTTCTATATTATAATTTAAGTCTTCGATCAAAGGTCTGACTTTGTGCAATTTATCATAATTTGGATCGTTTTTTTGGTAGAAAGGTTTGATTAGAATTTATATGAATTTTACCCGCAATTTTTTTGAAACGTTCACGTATCATAACATTGGACACAGCAGGTACGCCAAGAAAAGGATCAGTACTCCAGTAGTGACGTATTGATAGAAGTTTATGAATTCCCATAATAATCACTATAGTCCCATCCAGGCTTTCAGCTCATCGTTAGTTATATCGGACCAAATCTCGGCATTTCTCGTTTCTTCGGAATCATTAGAATTAGCAGAAATAGTTTCAAATGCATAAGCATTTGTTTCCTGTACTATTCTCGATATCATTTCTTCTGTAAAAAGTCGCTGAAAAATATCTTTTTCAGTCTGCCTCTTACCAATTTGTATTTTTGGGCCTGGTTCGCATTCAAGAATTTCTTTATCTCTCAATTTACCATTACTGGGTACCCAATTTATTTCTGATTCTAATTCAGTACTATCAGTATCCTCATCAACAATTTCTTCATCAGTATCATCAGAATCTGAAATTTGTTCATTTTCAGCATGCTGATAGTCTTCACTGTCTGATGTCAAATCACCTTCTGATTCTGAGTTCTCATCATTATCTGAAAGAGAATATTTCGCCTGAAAGTTATTACTCGCCTTACCTTTTTCCTTTCGATTCATTTTTTTCAAATGTTAATAATTTTTTAAAATCACAGGATGGTTGGCACAAATATGCCCACAAATGTAAGTAAAATAAAAATAAATGAACTGCAACTGTAACTGTGAGTAAACTAGCTTTTTAGCAGCTAAAGCATCAATAAAAGCAACTAGCGATATGAGCGTGCTTGGTTCAAACGAATAAACACAAATGACAGTAAATCGACTAATCTGGTATTTGTTTCTTATGTTATAGGTATAATGAACAAATGTTATTGGTCTATACTGATTTACTTTCAATTATAACAGCTAAAGCATCGCGCAATGGAAACAACAACACTGAAGAGTCAAGACTCGAAACAATAAAAATAAATTACTTTCAACTAGCTAATCTGTCATTTGTTTTTTTTATTAAGTAAGAAAACAAATTTTATTTCTTTATAATAATATAATTTTTATATGATTTAAGGAAATGAAATTTGCTTCCTTCACATAATATATTAAGAAAAAAGTTCCAAACTGACCAATTAACTGTCATTTGTTTCTGTTCCTTTCAACCAAGTGCGGTATTTCCAGTTGTTTGTTGTTGTTGTTTCCATTAACACTTTAGTCGTTAAAATTAAAATTAAATTATTAAAAACAAATAACAATAGTTATATAAAAAATTAAAAGGTAGACTAGAAAGTTGACTGTCCTTTGTTTTTGACAGTTCGAGCCAAGCGCACTAATGTTATAACGGTTGTTTATATTGATGCTTTAGTCGCTAAAAAGCTAGTTTACTTAGTTATAAGAAAATGTATTTTTCCCTAAATCATGCGAGTAATAACTTTCAGACGAAATATTCCCTTTCAGATAATAATGAAAACTACGAATCAGAAGCTGATTTTACGTCATTAAATAATGAGGATTATCTGCATGCTGAAAAAGAACAAATTTCAGATTCTGACCAAGACAGTGTTGAGGAAGACACTGACAATACTGAACAAGTGTCCAAAAAACGGATACATGGTAAAGTAAATTTAAGAGTAAAGAAAGTTCTGAATGTGATCCAGGCCCAACAATACCAACAAGTAAAAAAAAGATAAATATATTTTTCATCAAATGCTTACAAAAGAAGACGGCCCTATAAATAAAGTGCCTGTTTACCGTAATTTTGAATTTTGTTTATAGTACTGGATCCGCCATTTAAAATTTTTAAATTTCGACATCAGATTCGTAATCAGTGACCCCAAAAACCCCCGAGTAACAAGTTTCAAGCAAATCCGTTTGGTTTTTAATTTTTTGTCCGCCATATTGGATCCTCCGTTTTGAATTTTTAAATTTCGACATCAGATTCGTAATCAGCGACCCCAAAAACCCCCGAGTAACAAATTTCAAGCAAATCCGTTTGGTTTTTAATTTTTTTGTCCGCCATTTTGAATTTTGAAAAACTAATACCCATTTCGTAATCAGCGACCCCAAAAACCCCCAAGTAACAAGTTTCAAGCGAATTCCATTAGATTTTCAAAAAGTCGTCCGCCATATTGGATCCGCCATTTTGAATTTTTAAATTCTGACTTCAAATTCGTAATCAGCGACCCCAAAAACCCTTAGATACTAAGTGTAGTCAAAATTGAATCGGTGGAAATAATTCGGGCCTTAAAGGGTTAAGCCAATCTGTGTGATTTTTAATTTTTCGTCCGACATATTTGATCCGATATTTTGGATTTTTAAATTTTGCAAATCTGACTTCAGATTCGTATTCAGTGACCCCTATAACGTTTAGAATGTTTTGTTTATTATTCTAATTGCGTGACTAAAAGGGTTAAATAGAAATTTTTATGAATTAATTAATGCGGTTAAAATTATAATTCTTTGATATGAAAATTAATATAGACTATAGAAATACGACAATTTAGAATTTGATTTCACGAATATTCTCTTAAGTGCAAAAAATATTTTTACGTCTCTTTAAAAAAAATGAGCTAATACTTTTTGAGTTATTAAAATATCTTTTTTCACCCAAAAATTAAATAAAATTCCACTGTAAAATTTGTTTTTATAAACATTTACTATCAAAACTCGATAATAAGAACTTACCTTTTTCTGTTAGATGGAGGAAAAATCTCGTTCTACGCCTGCATTGCTGAATTTAATACTGGAATTATTATTGAATAAATCTCAAACCAAAAATGAAACATCTGTTCTTTCAATGCCTTCTCTCGGTGCACATGAATCACGCATAAATCAACTTAAAAAACTCAACATTTTATTATGGAGAAATAGTGTATCATTTAATTGTTTAAAATTTGATAGTCTATTAAACGATCAAAAAATGCTATTCACATGTGGCGATTACTTTTTAACATTGAGCCAGAAATTGCAGCTTGCAGAACAATTGAACTTGTGTGATAAAGAAAAAAATCTTTTGTCGGAATTTAATGAAATTCTTAAAGAATTAAAAATTGAACCCGAAACTGAACATAAGATATTTAAACGAGGTAAAGCGTGGGCATTGTTTGGTTATGTTCAAACTTCTTTATTTACTTCGCTGGGATATGTTGATCCACTTTATAAAATTGAACGAAAACTTGAATACGCCGAAGAAGATATTAAGGATTTAAAATGTACGTTTTATACTAAAATTTTAGAATCTCGTATTTTTGGCGACAAACAAATTCAGAATTCGCATTCTCGTTTCATGGAAATAGAACCGACTATAAATAATATTCTTGCTGAACGAGAAATTCTTAAAACAAAGAAAGCTTATCGACCCGCTAATACAGATTTCTTAATTCTCGTCAAAGATTTTGAAAATTTACGTAACACTTTAGGTAGTTTTCACGTTATTCAAAATCATGTTTTAGAGCTTTCAAAAGTTTTCATCGATTTTATGAACAACAAAAATGCAGATATTAAGACAGCAGAAAGAGTTGTACTCAGAACCGAAACATGGCAAGAATCATTGGAACAATTCATTGATCGAATTGAAAGTCGCTTCCTGTCATCTTATCCCGATCTCATTTTACCTGCATTTGCAGCATTATCTGACATGAAACATGGAATTGATATGATGAAAAATCATATTCAACGACTAATTTCTAAAACTTTGACAAATCATCAAGACGCTACTGTCGAAGATTTAATTGAAAAAATGATTTCCTTCCCTACTATTTATCCTCAACAATCATGTTTACTTGATTTAGTCAATTTTTGTACACTCGATTCTACTAGAGAACTTATTAATAAAAATTTACAAACTGATTCTTTTAGGGAACAATTTAAAATCACATTGTCTGGCTTACATGAATTGAATAATTATATTTTATTAAACGGAACATTATCAAAATCTTTGTGGATTAAATTAAGTGAAATAATGCATCAAATTATTTTAATTTGGAAACAGCAGGAGAAGGAAATTCTCAAGCGAGAAATCGAGAAGGAGAGTGTGTATAAAAACCGTTCTCAAATTCATGGATCTCAAATGAAAGAAGAGGAAGAAATAAAATTAGAGCTGGAGAATCTCTTCCCCACTTATAAAGATAAAGATTTCAATGATTTTGGAATTGATGCTCAGGAAGAGTTTATAGAAGTTAGAACCAAAGAACGCAGTCCCGTTCTGCTTTCAGTTAACGATATTCAGGAAGTTAATCGATTGTATTCGAATATTTTGATATTTTGCACGACTTCCAATTGGCTGAAGAACTCTTTGCAATGTAAAACTCCAGATTATGTCAATCCACTGCTTATACGTTACAACACAGTTGGATTATTATTAGACAATGTGACAGCGTCATTAAGTTCGAAAATTTCCCAAAAGTTGTATTCTAGTTTAAATTATTTAACACACACTACACTATCTATTAGTCAGGGAAAAAAATTATTGAATCAGAAAACATCATTTGATTTTTATAAAGACAGCAACATAGCTGAAGTAACTTTGTGTGTATCATTATTGAGAAATGTCTTCGATAAAATTTCTCTTCTACTAAATGAATGGCCTGAACATCCAACATTGAGAGCTATTCGAACTGTGATCAAGAGAATCCTCGAGTTTCCAATAACTTCTTCTATTTCAAGATTCCTAACTGGTTTAGAATTATTGCTAGTGAAAATGAAAGAATGGGAAGAAAATGCTCACAAAGATGTTAGTCTTTTTGAACACATGTCTCTACTCACACAACAGATAATTTCTTGGAGGAAACTTGAACTATCATCCTGGAAGGATTGTTTAAACGTCACATTCCAGAGACTTCAATCTCAAAGTGCAAAATGGTGCTTTTGGCTGTACATTTTGCTGGAAAGTTACATCACTAAAACTTATAACCCAGACGAAGTTGACTATTTTGATGACCAAAATGTCGTGAATGAAGAACTTTCTCCAGAAAAATTAATAGAGGTCCTTCACTATTTCATTTCTAAATCTCCTCTTGTGGAATTTGAAGCCAGGCTTGAATTGCTTTTAACTTTCCACTGTCATGCTTTCCATTTTAATTCCAGTCCAGAGAGAGACGATGTATTGTCTATAACGTGGAATGTGTACAACTACTACAAACAATTTACAAACGATGTAAATACAAAAATTAATAGTATACGAAATCCAATTGAAAAGAAGCTCAAGGACTTTGTCAAAATTACTCGCTGGAATGACATCAGTTATTGGGCTGTGAAAGAAACAATTGCCAAGTCTCACAAAACTTTACACAAATTTATTAAGGAATATGAAAAAGAATTAAAAGAGAATGTAACTAATTGCCTAGTTGTAAAGTCTACAAATGGTGTAATAAACAATGTTTTAAAAGATAAACATGAAATAAATTCGGATGTTTTTATCCTTCCAACGGAATTAATCAATCATAAAATTCTGCCAAGAGATCTGTTAGATAAAATAAAAACCGAAATTGTCACATCGAAGTACTCTGAAATTCGACTAAATCTCGAGAATTTAGTTGAAGATTATATGGAACGTAGTGCTAATTTGAAGAAATTAGAAATTGATAACACATTACCAAAACCAAAGCAAATTTCACATGCTAAAAGTGTACTGCAGCAAAAAAAGAAAGCATTGTCCGATTACTTTAAAACAATAGCTCATTTGGGAATTTCCTATAGAATTGGAATTTTAGCTTGGAAAAATAAACGAGATACTGTCATTGATTTGATGATATCTCCTGTGGATTTAAACGCAGCTTTGAGAAATTTTACATCGGATGCAGATAAATCGATGATAGAACAATGGAACGGATGTGAAAATTATTACCAAAAAGCAATTGCCGAATTTATTGCTTTAACTCAAATCTTATCGAATGCACATAAAGATTTAAATCCCTTAAATGTTGAACGATTTAAAGGTTACTCGGCTCACATGCTATTGATGGCGAACGAACAAAAAAGAACTCTGGTACGAGAAATAAAATACTTTGTAGCTCTTCGTTCTCAAATCGCAAGCCTAAAAGTAAAAGACAATCTTCCGAAGCAACAAGATTTATTCAAAATTGCCAAATCCTTTAAGGAATTGTTAATATTTTTACAATCAAACTTAGAACAATTACAACTTTATCTCAACGCTTGTCCATCTAAATCTGATATTGAAGAAAACGAGCCCTATGACTTGGAAGAAATCACTCTCCCCATTCTTTACAACACTAAAGAAGATTCGAATATAAATTCCGTCATTGAGAATTATTCCAATTTAGTAAAGACCATTTCTAATCAATTTAATAAAATATTTCATAATATTTACAATTGTGAGGAATTTGTTCCAATTTTGACAATGGAACATTTTAATTATTTAACTAAAAGTTACAAAAGTCTGGAAAATTTGCAAATTAAATTAACTGAAATTGAAAAAGCATTTGGAAATTTCAATCATCCTTTGTTTAAAAATATTAAATATATTAATAAAAGAATTTCTAATAACTTACAAGAATTAAATGAATTTGAAAATAAATCCAGTGTTCAACAAATGGAAAGTTTTGATAAAAATTCGTTTGAAAAAATGTTAACTGACGTATTTCTTATAGTGTTGAATAAATTAGAGGAAGAAAATCAAGAAAATGTAATTTCCTTTTCTACAAATGAATTGTTAGATCAGAAGAATATTTTCAGTGAAATGCTTAAATCACTAAAGTACAAAATAACAGAAATGAATTTAGAAGATATTTTTACCAACTTTAACAAATTGATATTGATGATTCACAATTCAGACACAGTACACGCAAACTTATATTTTCAAATGATTAAGAAATATCTACCTCTACTGGAACAATATTTACTGTACACTCAATTCTATTTAAACGAACAAATTGCCAGTTTACGATTGACATCTAAAATGCTTCATTTGCAATTGAATGTTTTTCTCGATTTGGCCACCAATGGTTTTTGCATACCAAAAAATCTTGATCTCGACATTGATCCCAATGGTGAAGAAGGTTCTCAAGAAAATACGGGAAAAGGCGGAATGGGTCTAAGCAATGAAGAAGGAGTTCAAGATGTTTCTGACAGAATTGAAAGTGAAGATCAATTGGAAGAAGCTAAATCTAAAGATCAAGAAGAACAAGATATGGATAATAAATCATGTCCGGAAGAAGAAAAAGGTATCGACATGTCCGAAGATTTTGAAGGTAAATTGCAAGACATTGAAAAGGGAGAAAATGACAATGAAAATAGTGATAATGATGATGACGATGATGGTGATTTAGATAAAGAAATGGGAGAAACAAATGAGGGAGAAAATCAACAAGATAAAGAATTATGGAGTGATGATGAGAAAGAAGAAAATAAAAATGAGGAAAATTTAAATGAAGATGATAATGCTGGAAAAGGAGAGGAACTTGATGATGAGACAATGGGTGCCAAAAATAATGATGAAGCATTGTCTAAGGAATCCAAGGAATATAAAGAGAAAGAGGAGATATCAGAATTAAATGAACCGGACATTAATGATGATCAAATAGATCCGTATCATGGTAATCAACAACCGGAAATAGAACCCGATGCACTTGATTTACCCGATGATATTAATTTAGACAATGAAGACAATGAAGCGGTAGATCAAGAAAAACAAGAAGAAGATTTATTTGACATTGATAATATGAAAGAACCAGTTTTACCTCCAGATGATGAAGCTAAGGAAGATATAGAAGACGTTACTAAAGAAGACACTGAGAATAATGAACGAGATGAAGTTGAATCAGACCCTGAAGATGAACCTTCAGACAAAAATATTGAAGCTGCTCCAATGGAAAGTGAAGTTCCTGCTGAAGATTCTGAAGTCGCTGCTGAAGAAAATGATTCAGAAAATCAAGTTAATATTAACGATTTCGATGGAAAAGCGGAAAATGGAATGCAGGTGGATGTTGAAACAGAAGGAACTCAGAATTCCGTGAATCAAGAAAATGAAGAAAAGAAGTCACAAAGGGAGAATATTCAAAATTCCCAAAATGATTACGGTACAGGCGAATCTCATCAAGGTTCAGGTAAAACCGAAACTGCTTTGGATGAAGGTGGAGCTCAAACTGATAAAAGAAATAATGAAGAAAATAAAAGCAAAAAACGAAAGTCACTAAAAGAAATGGATAACAAAAATATGTCTCTAATGGAGGAAAATGAACCAATGATGAAGAAAACGAAAACAAATATTCAGGAACGTCAAAATGAGCATGAAGATCTCGACGACAAAGAATTAAATGATGAAACTAATGAAACTAAAGAAACTAATTTTCGACATGTTGATAGTAAAGAAACTTACAATCGTTGTGCAGTCGATGCAGCAACTGAGGATCAAGTTAAAAAACAAGCTACGAAGATTACAATGGATGCGGAAAATGAAGAAAATGAAGAACCAATAGACATAAATATGCTTCACGAAGATGAAATAATTGAAGAAAAAACCAATCATATTCAGAAGCCGGAACAAGTATCAACTAGTGAAGATAAAAGTAAAGGAAACTCGTCTTCAGCAGCTAAAAACGAAATTGAACAAATGGAAGTAGATTCCGACCTACCAATTGTAGAAACAACAACAGTTGCAAGAGGGGCAGATTCGGCCTTCTTTACAAATTTGGCAAATTTATCATTGGAAAATGTTTCCAATTTAGAAGTATTTGAACGTACAAGAGATGAAGTCAAACAAGTTTTAGCTCATTGGAGAACAGAACCATCAACACAAGAAGCAATAACTACATGGAATGCTGTAAGCTCAATTACTGACACTGCAGCAAGGGAACTTGCTGAAAAACTGAGATTAGTTTTAGAACCAACACATGCCTCACGCTTGAAAGGTGATTATAAAACAGGAAAGCGAATCAACATGCGTAAAATTATCCCCTACATAGCAAGTCAATTTAGAAAGGATAAAATCTGGTTGAGAAGAACAAAGCCATCCAAAAGAAACTATCAAATCGTTTTGGCAATTGACGATTCGAGTAGTATGGTAGACAATGATTCCAAGGAAATAGCATTTGAGTCACTTTCATTAATAAGCAAAGCAATGACGTACTTGGAAGCTGGTGAACTTGGTGTAATTAGCTTTGGTGAAGATATAAATGTTTTACATCCTCTTGGAGAAGTTTTTACTCAAGAAAGTGGAGCGAGGTAAGATTTTCAGTTATAAATTGGTAGAATTTCTTATGAATTGAATTTTAATTTCAATCATTTTTATTTTACTGTAAATTCTTGTGATTTATTAGATTTTATTTTCGAAAAAATGAGGTAATTTTTGAACATTTGTATAAGTATCTGTTTTCAAATGTCACAAAAATAACAATAAAATAAAAAAAAAAACTATCAATAAGTCGAATGACTAATTTGAGTGGCCGAAAGTAAATATTTGAAATAATGTAAATTCACTTTAATAAATTTTTTCAATATTAATAAATTAATACATAATACTTTTTTGTTAATTTTTTTTTTATCTAAAAAGAGAAATATCAAAATTCAAAGAAGAAATTTCAGGGTTGCCACGGATCAGGGAAAGTCAGAATTTTATGAAAAGTACTGGAAAAATATCATCTAAAAATGCTACTAAAATTATAATTTTTGAAATTTTCAATTCAAACTTTTGCTTCTAAAAATTGTCTTACATTTTTATAACTTTAGGCCTTGGATCGACTTTTGAAAGAAAAAACGTCATTTTAGTTGATTTACAATTACAAGAAAAGTCTAAAAAGTCCTCTTTTAATTAATTAAAATTGTTAATTACCTAATTTTTTGAATAAATTTAATTAGTTTATAATTACTTTATTATTATTAACAATTTGTTATTAGAAATAAAATAAAATTTATTAATTCCTTAATAAAAATGTTTTTCACAAAAATATTTTCAAGAATTTTTCTTTTTAAACCACCGAATTAAACTGATACAATAAATGAATATTAGAGAATTTTTAACTGAAATATGTTCTAAATAATTGAATTTTGATAGAGTTGAAGTAAAGATTTTTAGAAATAATTGTATTCTTCATATTTTTTTATGTAATTGAATTTTTGAAAAACTTGATTAAAGTTATATGTTTTATAAGATTTAAGCAATAATTAAACATTGGAGAATTTTGATTTGGAAAATATTTTAAATAATTGAATTTTCAAAAATCTTGATTAAAATTATTAAAATTAAATTACTCAACAAAGAATTTTAAATAAAAAATTTAAAAATTTAATTGTATTTTAGAAGAGTTTGAGTTTTGAGATATAATAATTGAATTTCAGGAGATTATAAATTGAAACTTTAATTTTGAATTGCTGAAATTGTTTTAAAAACTTTAGACAAGAAGTGAATTTTAGTGAATTTTCAGTTGAAAACTGTTTTAAATCATGTAATTTTCGAAGAATTTGTTTTAAATTACTGAAAATAATTGATTCTGCAAACAATTCAAGTTAATATATTTTTTTAGTAATTCAATTGAAAAAAAAAGTTGAAAAAATCCTACAATCCGAGACCTGTAATTGAAATATTTGATTTGAATTGACCTCTTGAAATATTTTCATTAGAGTCATGGGAAAAGTTTTAATTTTGACTGCAAATTAGGGAAAAGTCAGGGAAAAACAAAAAATAATATTTTTGTGTCAATCCTGAATTTTAATTCGACAAATTTTTAATAATAAAAATATCTAAATTAAAATTTTATTTGAAAACTAAAATATTTATATTAATTATTATTTTATGAATATAATCAATGTAACATCATTTGGAAAAAATATATAGGAGAGAGTAGAGCGTAACTAATTAAAGAGTTTTAAATATAAAATTTTGTATAGATAGTGATTTTTAAAAATACACAAAAAAATTAACAAATTCATAAATATTATCAACTTTTAGGCATAAAATTCCATAATATTTCATAAAAATAATTAGTTAAAATTTTCAATTTAAAGAATTTTATTAGATATAATCATTTTTTAGATAAATTTTCATTTTTTGAAATAGCCTTTAACTGTATTTTTTTTAAACGAATATTTACTTAACAAAATTTTTAGGCACTAAATTCTTATTTTACAGAATTTTTTTTGTTTGAAAAAAAATATCTAATCTTTCTATTTTAATGTATCTTTCAGATTGATGCAGAAAATGAGATTTGAACAAACCAAAACCAAAGTTCCTCAGTTGGTAGATTACAGTATTGATATATTTAATACGCAAAATGATTCAGTGGAAAATGCTAAATTACTTGTCATACTGTCGGATGGTAGGGGAATATTTTCAGAGGGAAAAAACAGAATGAATTATGCAGTACGCAGGGCGAGGTTATCTGGCGTTTTTACAATATTTATTGTAATTGACAATCAAAAGAATAAGGTAATTTATTATTTTTAAAAATTTGCGAAATTTATGTTTTCATTCTTTAAGAGAACATGGAAATATAGAAAAATGATGATTCTTTAAAAACTGAATGATAAATAATAATTTATTTTTCTGAAGGAATCCATTCTTGATATTCGAATGCCTATTGCAAAAATTGGACAACCTCTTGTTATCCAGTCTTACATGGAACATTTTCCATTCCCTTTCTACATGATACTGAGAGATATAAAAGCTCTGCCTGATATTTTAAGTGACGCTCTAAGGCAGTGGTTTGAATTGATTGGAAATATGGACAATTGAAAGATGACACCAAGAATTCAGAATTGTTTTAGGAAGAATGTAGAAATAATATATCTAATAAATAAAATCATGTACAGTATTTTATAAGTGAAACAATAATAAAAATATTTTGCCAACAAAATGACAATATTTTTTATTAATAAAAAATATAAAAACTAATAAAATTAAAAACTTTCAACAATAGGTTGATGGAAAACCAGTATTATTTAAAGAAAAGGATCCTCGTGAAACACTGAGGTGGAACTATACCACGAGGTGAACAGAGGATCTATAATGTATTTTGCATATAATAAAAAAGGTATAAATAAACGTAATAGAGTTTATTTAAAAAACAAAAAAATTATTAATTATACAAATATTCAAACTCGCGAATATAATATATTTATGTATATAAAGAATGTTCAACAATTTTACTGTGGACGCACACCGCTCACTCGCAATCGCTATATTGCACTGCCTGTTATTCGTGTTATAATTCGCGCAATTCGTTTAAATCAGGTTCGCTCGTTAATTATCGGAAATTTCCGTTTTTCGTTTAAATATGAATTCTATCAAGATATACATCTATTGTTGAAAGTTTTTGCTTCCTCGTGGAGGAAGCTTTGTAGTCCTTTCGTTTATAAAACTTTTCAAAGTGGCGAAAACAAATTTTTTCTTTATAGAAACATGTTATATGAGATCCTGATCAATTGTCCGGATGTATGTATGTGTGTGTGTGTGTGTGTGTGTGTGTGGATCCCTTTTTTGTTTAGAAGATAACTTTAACAGGTTTTAATGGATTTAGATAAAATTTGGTAGGCTCATTTATCATATTAATATCTCAAATCTGACCAAAGGATTTTGAAAACTACCCCAAAAAAAATTTTTAAATAGAAAAATTTAAGGTTATATATAATAAAATCGTATTTCTTACGTGAAGACGAATCGATCGATATATATATAAAGTATACATTTGAGGTAAATTTAAAAAATTAATGAAAGTTAAAAAATAAAAAATTCACATTTTGGCTATAAAATTTTGTGATTTTTTAAATTGAAGTTTATATATGAAATAATTGTATTCCTTACGTCAAGACGAATCGATCGATACCGTGGATGTCCCAGTTACCGTCCACCTAAGACCTAGTTTCCGTCCAGTTTAATTTTCAAAATAAAATTTATAAAAAAATTATTTTCTTTTATTTGTTTACTTAAACTAATAAGTCGATTGTGGGCCAAAAGGAATAAATTATTGTTAAAAAATAATTTAAATTACTATACGAGATATTTGTAAAATGGACGGAAACTGGGACATGGACGGTAACTGGTACATCCACGGTATATATAACGTATACATTTGAGGTAAATTTAAAGAATTAATGAAAGTTAAAAAATCAAAATCACATTTTGGCAATAAAATTTTGCTTTCTCCACGAGGAAGCAAATTTTTTTGCTGATCGTAAAGAGGAAGCAAAATGTTCATGTAATGAACATCTGAATTTACAACTTGTTTATTTTATCAAATTTATTTTATTAAATATAAAATTATATTCATTATATAATAATTATATTATATTATAATTATTATTATTCAATTATATTACATTACACTATATTATATTAAATTATATTATATATATATTAATTATATAACAAATAAATCAAAAAATAAAAATATGATAATACCTAAGATTACGATACGATAATTTCAATTCAATTTATTTTAAAAAATTTTGTTAATTAAAATTTTCTATTCATAAGTACAGGCATTGGATTTAAATTTAAATATTTTTAAATCGCTCTTTTTTTATCCTATATATATATTTAAAGGTAACTGTAATTTTTTATATAGAAAAATAGCTATAAATAACTTGATTATGTATTTATTTGTAAAATTTTGTAAAACAAGACAAGATTTTTTACGGTGGACCGCGCGCTATTTTCAAAAAGATCATATAAAACAAAAACCCAAATGTTGAAGATTTATTTCGAATTTAAAATTATTTCGACGGAAAACTCCCATTTCCGTTACATAGTTCAATATAAAGAATAAAAGTAATTTAAGTGTTACGCTTGAGTTTTTTTATAAAGTCTAACAAATAGAAATATGCATGCTTTTATTAAAAAAAAAAATTTTTAAGGAAGAAAGAACTTTTAGACAGATTTTTTGACAGAAATTTGTTTATTTAAAAGCGAGCCAACGATGATAAGGTTTCTTCAAGTGAAGTGTCACAGTGAATAAGCTAAGTTTACATATATCGTATAGAAACAATTATAAAATTGTTTGCATTGAATATTACACTATAAATAGAATATTGTCACTAATAAAAATAATAATAAAAATAATAATAATAATTAATTTTATGACCTTAAAGTGCATTATATGAACACTTGAATAGTCAAATAAACAAATAAAATGAAAATTTGTCAGGTATAACATTTAGAATAAATGTGATAAAAAAATATGGATGATTCCCCACGTTCTAACGCAATTAATACTGATTTTTTAAATAATTTCTCAACGATTTTCAATCTTCTTCTTCATATTCATGACATTTGTGTTCTAAAATAATACTACTAGACTTTATTTAACCATAAAATATAAATATTTAATTTATAGTGAAGTCTCTCAATTTTACAAAAATGTCAATAAATATTATACTAATTACCTAAAAAAAATACTGATTTCTGTCATGTAAATGGCTCTTTAGAAAGCTTTTAAAGCAAAATTATAACGATATATGAATAAAAATGACTTTTTACTTGTGAATACAGAAATCAGTTTTGAATTCGTTACAGTAAAATAGTTTTTAAAAAAAACATGATGAACCATCCATATGTATGACAAATGAAATTCATATAAAAACCATATTAATAATGTATAAAAATTGTTATAAAAATTTTGTCAGTCACAAAATGTAATATTTAATATTTGGTGACTTTTATCGTTGTTGTAAAAACGTATTTCTTAACCTTACAGTTACGTAACATCTATTTGGTACAAAATGCGCGTATACAGTCAAATGAAGCCGCATGTCAGTCAGTATATGTGTGATTGCAATGTATTGAGACTGACATGACGCTTTCCTTACTATATATAAATAGTAAAAATGCATTAAAAATTGGAATGAATCGCAGTCTGATTTCGAGGTCGATAGAAATCGTCTATAAATAGGAATCCAGGAAAGATCATCAGTTTTTGTTTTTTTTTAAGTTTAACGTTCTCAGTACAATATTACCGATTAGCAATTTGAATGGTGTATTCATAAAAATCGTCAGTGCCATTTAATCAGTATTTAATTTCATCGTATCCTTCACTGGGCGCGATTTTGCTTAGAAAAAGAGGTAATAGGTGTGTGGCAATATGTAATGCGATACATGTTAAAATTCCCATTTTGTTGCTGACGCGTAATCTGATTCTCCAAGACGCAAAGCTCCATTCTTTCCGGCTGTCAAGTACCGTCCATCTGTACACTTTATACATATACGCGATGGCTCTCGTAACTCCAAATAAAATCCTTCAGAAGGCATATCAGAATCCACCGTAACGCCTTCACCATCTGCATGCCAGTACTTGCCATTTTGACCTGTTATTTCAATAAACAAAACAAAACATTTTCATTTTAACATGGTCTCAATTACAAAGGGTCGCATGAATATTCCCCACATTGAATTTTATGGAATTTCTATGGTTTCGAAATTAATAAGCTCGCATTTCTATGTTACCGAATTTTATAAAGTAGAATTTATATTGAACCGAATTTTCACATTTAAGTATTTTTATTTCCAAATGTAAAAAATTTTTACCTTAACTTCAATGTAAGAATTAAAACATTAAAAGACCAGATATTTTAGTGTCAATTCTAGGGAGTATTGGAGGTCGCTCTTTCAGATTCTGAGACCAAAATCGCAATTGGTCCATCAAGAAATCCAATATGGCGAATAAAATAAAAAAAACTAAAAAAACCAATGTTTTTTTGAAAAAAATATTTTTTTTAAGTCTTTTTATCTATTTTATTGGTGGATAAAATAGTTGTATTTTCAAAATATGCTTATAAGAACTTTCAATTTCAAGATAGTGGACTCAAGATGTCGGAAAAGTTTCAAAATTCAAAATGGCGGACTTTTTTTAAAGAAACTATCAGATATGTTTGAATCTTGTTACCCGGGGGTTTTCGGAGTCGCTGACTACGATTTCGATGTCAGTTTTCCAAAATTGAAAATGGCAGATCTAATATAGCGACTTAAAAATTGATCGGATCGGAAAAAAATTTTCTATCTAGGGGTTTTCTGCGTCTTTGATTACGAATCTGGTGTTAACATTTAAAAATTCAAAATGTCCTTGTTAATAACTTCATATTCAAAATCAGCAACCTCGAAAACCCCCGAGTAGTAAGTTTGAAGCCAATCCAAACGATTTTCAAAAAAGTCGTCCGCTATCTTGTAATTGAAAGTTCTTTTAAGCATAGTATGAAAGTACAACTATTTTATACATCAATAAGATAGATTAGATGACTTAAAAAAAATGTTTTTGACTTTAAAAAAATATTTTTTTTCAAAAAAACATTGGGTTTTTTAGTTTTTTTTATTTTATTCTCCATATTGGATTTCTTGATAGACGGTCAAATAGAACATCTGATTTATAAAAATTCGACTGAATAAAAGTTCCCTTAATTATGAATTCTTTTAAATAAAATTTTTTAAATATAGAAATTAAATTCAATATAAATTCTAGTTTATAAAATTCGGTAACATAGAAATTCGAGCTTATTAATTTCGACACCGTAGAAAATCGAATAAATTATCTTTTTTTTTATATAAAACTTTTCAATAATTCTTCAGAAAATGCCGCAAACAATTTACGTTCATATTCTTGATTAAATTATTATCTTTATCCATTGATTTCTTACCTTTGAATCTAACAACTCCACGTTCGCAGCGTTCAACTCTAATTGTTTCATAACTAGCTTTATTGCACTCTAATTTTGGACTAGCAGCACTTTTGGGTCCAACGAAACCTTGCTCGCAACGAAGAACCAAAACAGGTCTGTTCATGAGGTAAAAGTAATAATTGCAAACGTCCGAGTCGCCATTACTGATTGAGTCAGCATTGGCGTACAAATGTCCAGAACGTTTGGTGCCCAAAAACTTTCCATTGTTGGCACGAAGTGCAACTGTTCCATCTTCATGTTGCCAGACCAAATCGAAGAGAGCATTTGAGGAGCGTTTGTGATCAGAGGCTTGAATACCGCTGCCAGCTTCCAAGCTCCAATAACGATCTTGCATTGTACGGATGTACCATCTTTTAGTAACTCGATCAAACTCAAGTTGGAAAGTTTCATGACCAGAAATTTCATCTTGATTTGCTGTTACGTCAACACCTGTACATTTTAGAATAGAATTTTATTTTTAATCAAATAATCATTATAGTTATACAATTTTTAAGGTGGGTAAAGCTGCAAGTCACAAATTCAGGGGTTCGGGCGTTAGAGTACCATTTCTCCATGTATTTTGATATTCTGAACACAAATCAGATATTACGTCTGGATTTTGAGTAAAATGGGGGTAAAGACCCCAAAAACATGACACTGAAGTTACCAACGTTGAATCGACGAAAAAATTTTTTTTTTCCCAAGATGAAATATTTCCCCAAGATTTTTAGTGTTTAAGGATGTACTTGGGACCAAAATAAAGAAGTTTCAATTAAAAAAAATTGGTTCTTGGCCTTTAAACTAATCTGAAAACGAAAAATTGATAAGTACAAATTTTTGAAAAATAAGTATATTTCAATAAATATTATATAAAAGCCCTAAATTTTTGTACACGATATTGAAGTAGCCTTTAAGTAGTCTTGAATTTTCATTTGAAAAAAAGTTGTTTCATGACAGTGATACTTGCAGCTTTAACTACCTCTGAAAATTGTTAAATTTTTTCTAAAGAATCAATTTTGACATGTGACACCAAAAATTAATGTTAACATAATAAGGAAGTAAAAAATTTATCGAGGATAAAGAGGAAGCAATAATTTTAAGAGTGGAACTAAAAAATATTTTTCATCGTTTGTGTGTCGCAATCAAGTAACACACTGTATAAAGGAACGCGACAATAATTAAAATGCATGGCAGAGTGGAGAAGAATGAATTTCATGAATTATAATAGCTATTTTAGTTGTATTCAGTCACATTGGCTGTAAAGTTACGACTGTTTGGATACGATTGTTTCCGCTTATAGCTATAGACACATGCATAAAAATAAACTCTTTGTAAGGATAAAATGATTCTACAAGTGACTCACCTTGTTTGACGGAAACATAACGCTGATTGAGAGCCGCAACGAATGAAGCTTGGGGCAAAGATTCCTCTAGAGAAAAAAGTTCATCACGTGTCACAGTTGTCGAACGTGTCTTTAGGACGGCTTTACTTCCAATCGGTGCCAAATATGCTCCATGAATATCCCTATAAAAAGTTGGCATATTTAAAAAATTAACCCTCTGCCTATATGGTTATTTGAAAATTTCTCAAATTAGACTTTCTGGAATTTTTGTGATGTCGAACTAAAAATTATTCAATTTACATTTAGCAGAATTTAAAAAAAGTAGATTTTATAATAAGACCAATTTTAATATTGAAAAATTTCTATTTAACAAAATTCTGATTTTATAGAATTTCTATTTAAATGAACTTTGATAAAGCAGCTTTTATATAATATTATTATTTAAATAATATTATAATATATTTATACAATACAATACAATTTCCATTTATATCTAGAAAAATTTTCATAGAAAATAATTTTGATTTATCAGAATTGTTCTATTTAAGAAAACTTTTGTTTAACCGAATTTTTTATTTAAACGAATTATTATTTAGCAGAATTTTCTTTTAATAGAATTTCTACTTTTTCCAGATTTTTAAATAGGAAAATTTCTATTTCATCGAAACTTTATTTATCGGAAGTTTCATTTGTACGCAATGTTGTCTGAAAGAATTACCAAATCACCGAATTTTCATTTGATATAGAAATTGAAAATGCCCGAACAAAATAATGACGATTTTTACAAATAAAAATTCTAGCAATAGAAGTTTTGGTGCAATGAGAATTCTGGCATTTAAAAATTCGACTTAGTCAAAATTTCGTTAAAGCAATTTGATTAAACTGGAATTGTTTTAAATGAAAATTATGTTAAATAAAAGTTCTATTAAATAAAAATTATTTTAAATGTTTAGGGTGGCCGTTTTTTTCACCAAAAAAAATTCCCGGTCATTTCCCGGTAATTTCCCGGTCATAAAGGAAAATTCCCAAAAAAATTATTCTATAAATTTATTGAATATTGACTCTTTATTAAACATAAAACATCTAAATACGTAATATACATTAAAAAAAACGTTTTATCACGTTTATCACATTTTGTTTCTTACTTAATGTTTATAATAAACACATACTATATATATTTTTAATAAAATAAACTTTTTCGTAGATATTTGTATCTCTTTTCAATTAAACTAGAAGTTAACTTTTAAAAACTACATTTTTAATATCACATTCAATATTTTAACATCTTAATACTTTGAGTTTTAAGATAAACATATATATATATTTTAAATTAAAGATACGTTCAGATACGTATTCAGTTAAAAATCAGGTTTGGTTATTTGATTGTTTAAGTTCTAAATCAATGTCTTCTGCACACTTGCGAGCATTTTCTAAGATCAAAGCTTTTTTTTCTTTCAAATTTTTGGCGGCTATTTTGATCATTTGCTTATTCGATTTTTGCCCTTTCTCATTTTGTCGTTCTGTATTTTTCTTTTTTTGATCTTTTGAATACTTAGAATGAGCATTTCGGGCTGCATGAATCAGAGATTTACTTATATGAATTCCATCTATTCCACCATGAAAATTGACTGCATCATAAACTACTCTGTGAGCAACTAGTGTTTCTTGTGACATGTTTTCAAATACACTTTCCTTATTAATGGAAAAACCACGCTCGACATTAGCGTTGCCATGGGATAAGATAAGCACCGTTTGCATGACAATTTTAAACTCATTGCCGTCTTCATCAAACTGTCTTAATTGTTGAATCCAAAAATGATCAACACGATCTCGAGCTCTTCGAAATTTCTTGCAAGATTCAATTACCACTGACGACGAGCAAAGTTTGGTGTACTGTCGAAGCGCTTTTTCTGAACATACACAATCAATCCAGTTGTGATCATTCAAAATTTGTAATAAATTTTTGAATCTTTTCCTCCCTACTTTTTTGATTGCAATTTCCGGATCGAAGGAACTAGTTGCTTCCGTTAGTTTGTATTTTAATGGAGACCGTTCCATTAATTTAGTTACAAATTTTTGTAAACTTTTTTTGCAATCACGGCGAAAGGTAGCAATTTCCAATTGAGACACATTTTTACACTTTTTTAATTCTCTGGTTGTTTCAAAACCAATTTCTATTTCACTGTATTTAAGAAGATTTTCTTCATTCATGAAATCGATATTTGACTTAACACATTCTGATTTAACAAAACGTTCCATAATTGTTTGAAGCAACGAGTTTAGAGCAGAATGCAAAAAAGGTATTAAGGGCCAATCAGATTGAAACTCGCGCAAAAATGGCTCAACATCACATGCCAGAGTTTTAAAGAATGCTAATTTTAGCCCAAGAAGAGGATCTTGAACAAATTCTTCAACTATTTTGTAACTAGCAGATGTTGGTTTCGTTTTTTGATCTGCTGCTTTTTGCACAAATTTGCCAAGAAAAGGAATCATTTCCAATGCTCTTTCTGCAACTTCAGCGTTTTCCAACCAGCGGGAAGCACCAAATTTTAATGGAAATAGATCCGAATCTGTATATTCAACGTATAGTGCACGGCGCGAAGGGACATCTTTGAATAAATTATAAAGGCTTCGTAAGAATGAAACAATATTCCAATTGGTAACTTTTATCGCACCTTTAAAACTATTATGACACATGTGAAGTCCACAGCTCCCTAGATCAAGTAAATTCGTAGAGTTTTCTGATTAGAGATATAGATATAATTTGTAAGTATAATTTATGTGAGAAAATAACGTGAACCCTATTAATTTATGAATTTATTAGAAATTCAAAACTTACCTTACTATTTTTCATGCCGCAACACGTTTTATCAGCCTTTGGTTAAGTTCGCACATGTTCGCACAAAATTATTAGCTTATTATGAGTTCACTGTACTGCAATAATTGTAAACACAACCTCATAGGAAGAAATGAACGCAGCCTATAGCCTAAACGCGCGAAATTGAAAATACAATATATACGACAATAATTCTAAACAATTTTTGAATTAAATAAAATACTTTTTAATAAAAAATTTCAAAATTCCCGGTCAAGGTAAAAATTCCCTGTCATTTCCCGGTTTCCCGGTCCACTGGCCACCCTGTGTTAATTCATTTTAATAAAATTCTGTTAAGTGAATATTCTGCTAAATGAAAATTAGATTAAAGAACAATTATGTTAATTAAAATTTCTGTATTATGTAAATACAGAATATAAATTTTGTTTTATATAAGTTTGACTAAATACTTTAATTATGAATTCAATGAAATAAAAATTCTTAAATATGAAAATTCAAATAAAAAATTAATATTTTTGATAAGATTTTGTATTCTTTAAACTTTATTAAAATTATACATACCTAAGAGCAAGTAGACCAGCGTGAAACTCTGCAGCATAAAGACAGTCGCGAGTGCATGTATCGAGAAGTTTTCCGTCTCGAGCAAGATATTTGTTATTGCAAGTGTGAAGAGCGTAATGTCCTCCTACGGATTTGGTACGATCACCATCGGCATCAGCTGACGCCGTTGGGCGGAATTCTAGTGTGAAAAGAGTGTCTTCTCCCCATGGTACAGGAGCATCTACGTGAATTTCATCTTGCATTGCACTCAAATGAGCGAAACGCTTTCGTCCAGCTGACCTCAAATTAACCTTTACAAGAATCATAAATAAAAATCATGAGCATAATGTAATTGACCAAATATGTAATTGCAAAATTTTTACTACTGTTTCATATTGAAAAAAAAATTAAAAAGTTCTGAAAATGTAAAAAATAAAATACAAGAATTTCAAATTAAAAGCTAGCACACTTATTTAGTTCTATTGTTCTTAATAATAACTAATACGTGCACATAGAATTTCTGATAGTATTTTTTGATATTTTCAATAGAGAAACGGTTGTTTAATTAATTTCATTTAATTTAATCTTTTATCACACATGACTGACTCGCATCTGCCTGGTCTATTTTAATGAAATGGAACAATCAGAAAATGTAACAGGTCATTGGATAATGTTTACCTGTGGTCTTGCAGCAAGATGCACAAGCCAGTATTCAGCTTCACCTGGAGCCTTTGCAGTGCATTTTAATTCATCTTGGCTTGATCCTAAGAAGTAACCTCTCTGCACATTTTTTAATGCCCATCTTCCACTCCCTAAAGAAAAAATTAATGAATTAGTCTAGTTTCTTTTACATTTTTTTTATTCCTCTCTTCAGCAGAAATTTAAAGTTCCGATTCAATAAACGATATCTTAAAAATTTCAGAAAAATCATGACCTCATTTACTTTTTTCCAGATTTTTGAAAATTGAACAATACATAACTTTAGAAATATGTTCTAAAGACATGAACCTTTGTACAAAGAAAGAATTTCAAGAAATTTCTGTAACAAAATTTTTGAAAAATTTCATAAAACTTATAAATGAATCGATTAGTGCATAACGTTCATTTTTCGAAAAGCATTTTTTTATTTTGAAAATTTTTCAATTAATGAAGCCCTCACGCTTGGCTTCAAGTAGATTTAGGTTTTGCAAAAATGGTGACAAACTCGGATAGTGGCATTTCATTCCTCTTTATTTAAAGCTTTAATAATCGTAAAGACCAAAATCGTAAGTGAATCCTTTTTTCGAGTTATTGTTAAATTTGTAATTTTTACTTAATACCTATACCTGACAAGAAATTTTAAATATAAGTTATTTCAATTTATAACAAAAATGTTTTAAGGATGATTTAAAATTTTGCTAATATTAGGAATTTAACATTTTCTTTTAAACTGACATCAAGTTCGTAAACAGTGATCTTGAAAACCCCCTAGCAACAAGTTTCATGTAAAACCGATTATTTTTTAATTTTTTTTGTCCGACATATTGGATCTGCCATTTTTAATGTTTGAAAACTGACATCGGATTCGTAATTTGTGACCTGCAAAACCTCCGACTAGTGATTTGTGAGATTATCTGCGCTTTCTGAAATCATTTTTTAATCATATTAAATTCTCTTACTGTGCGAATTGTCTTTCCGCAGAAAATTATTTTTTAAAAATAGTTCACGAAGCTGAAGTACTCAACGTTTATGATAAACGATTTTTAAAGAAATAATTTTTTAAAATGAAAAATTCTATAATTTTTTGCCTAAAAAATATTTCTTGTATTTTTTATTAATCGACAAATTATAAAAAAATATTTTTTAGGCAAAAAATTACAGAATTTTTCATTTTAAAAAATTATTTCATTAAAAATCGTTTATCATAAACGTTGCGTACTTCAGCTTCGTAATAGTTCCATGGTTTTTTTCGACTTAAAACTAATGGAATATTATTTCTAACACCCAAAGGGACCATTTAAGAAAAAAATTTTGATTTTTTTGAATGAGTTTGTTACCTCTTAATTATTAATCTGGTATTAAATTCGTAATATGTAGTACCAAAACCCTGCGAGTAAAAAATTTCAAGAGAATCTAATTCTTTTCTCAAAATTTTTTCGATATTTTGAATTTTAAAAATCTAATATATACTAGATTCATAATCAACTAACCCGAAGACCCATAAGTAACGAGTTTCAAGCTAATGTGATGAATTTAAAAAAATTCATTTTGTTATTTTGAATTTTGAAAAGCGGGCACCAGCCGCTTAAAAACCGAAATAAATAATGAGATATTTAAAATTTCACCCTTCGATAATTTAGGACACATTTAGGGCTTTCAAACGGACATAGAAAGAATTTTAAAAAAAAATTCAATATCAAAAATATACTGCTTTATATTTTTTTTTCTTTCAAAAAGGGGTTGGTGCTATCTTAACATTAAGCTCACACTACCTCCTTTTTAAAAAAAAAATAAAAAACAGTGTCTTTTTGATTTTGAAGTTTTTTTTATAATTCTTTCTATGTCTGTTTGAAAGCCATAAATGAGTCCTAAATTATGACAGAGTGGAATTTTCAATATCTCATTATCTATTTGGGTTTCTAAGCGGGTGATGCTAGCGTAACGTTAAGCTAACACCAACCCCCTTTAAAAAAAATACAGAGCGGTAAATTGTTAATTTTAGGCGGTAATAAACCCTAATTGAGCCCTAAATTCTGTCAGATATTTAAAAATATCAAACATCTTTTGCCAGGTTATGAACCTTATGTACCTATGTCCAAGAAGTTGGCAACGCCATTTTGTTTTTTTTTTTTAAATAAAAGATGTGCTGAATTGTGCTAGGTTTGTGCTCAACTGTGCCGAAAAAAATTTTTCGAAAAAAAAATTTTTTTTCACAAAAACGCCATTTTGTTAAAAATAAAAAATCAAAGTTGTGCTGAACACATCAAACACCACAGAATATTGTGCTACAAAAAAAATTTTTTTTTTCAAAAATTAAAAAAAAAACTTATTAAAAATTAAATTTTTGCAATTCAAAAATTTTTAAAAATAAAAATTTTTTGAAATGAAATGTTGTGCTAACTTGTGCTAATCGTGCACAACAAATGAGTCTTCATAAACTTTTTCCTAAAATTAATTAAGTCTTTTTCTTTGTGCTCAGGTAGCACAATTCAGCACAACTTTTCATTTATCAACATTTTAATTTTTGAAAATTTTTGCTAAAAAAATTTTTTTTAATTTTAAAAAACATAATTTTCTATCGACAATATTAATTTTAGAGAAAAGTTGATTAAAACTTTTTTACTGTGCTCGCTTAGCACAAGTCAGCACAACTTTTCATTTTTAAAATTTTCACTTTTGAAAATGTTTGTTTAAAAAAATTTTAAAAAACATGAATTTCCATGGAAAATATTAATTTTAGGGAAAAGTTTATTAAGAGTCTTTTACTGTGATCGCTTAGCACAATTCAGCACAACTTTTCATTTATCGAAATTTTAATTTTTGAAAATTTATGCTAAAAAATTTTTAAAAAACATGAATTTCCATGGAAAATATTAATTTTAGGGAAAAGTTTATTAAGACTTTTTCGCTGTGTTCAGGTAGCACAATTTAGCACAACTTTTCATGTATCAAAATTTTAATGTGTGAAAATTTTTGCTAAAAAAAAATTTTTTTAATTTTAAAACATAATTTTCTATCAAAATTATTAATTTTAGGGAAAAGTTTATTAAGACTCATTTGTTGTGCTCGATTAGCACAAGTTAGCACAACTTTTCATTTTAAAAAATTTTTATTTTAAAAAATTTTTGAATTGCAAAAATTTAATTTTTAATAAAAGTTTTTTTTTAATTTTTGAAAAAAAAAATTTTTTTGTAACACAATATTCTGTGGTCAGCACAACTTTGATTTTTTATTTTTAACAAAATGGCGTTATTGTGAAAAAAAATTTTGTTTTCTAAAAATTTTTTTCGGAACAGTTGAGCACAAACCTAGCACAATTCAGCACAACTTTTATTTTTTTTGAATAAACAAAATGGCGTTGCCAACTTCTTGGACATTATGTACCTTTTTCAATTTTTGATTATTTATAGACGTTTTGTCACTTTCTATTGAAGAATTGATTTTGCTTTTCAATTTTTTTTTAAACATAAGAGTCTTTTTCTACAAAAAATACAGTTAAAAAAATTAAATTTAATCTGTTTTAATATTTCCAATTTTTAAACAATTTTGTTGTACAGGTAGTAGATTTTTTTAAAAGATCATAGCTCACCATCTGTTGCAAGCATTATTTGAAAGGGGCATCCTGGATCCGAATGATCTTCAGATTCGCACGTAACATTGCCAAATTGATCAACAGCCAAGTAACGATCCAGATGGGAACGAAGATAAACTTGATGCTCGCTGCCTTCCAAAGTCCAAAGTTGTTTCTTTTTTAAACTTGCACCATTGGCATTGATTTTAAAGCCAAAAGTTTCGGCTGTCAGATATTTGAATTTGCCATTAATTAAACCAACCTACAAAACAATATAATAATTTAAAATTTTTTAATTTTTGATTCAGAGTAATCATGCATTTTTGGCAGATTTTGCGTATCTTTTACTGTTTTCGAGATATACATATTCGCCTCTAATTTCTTTCTTAATATTACAGCCCACACTTTACATCTTACCGAAATTTGTCAAAATTGCTACTTTAGTATACTTTTCACTGTGAAAGTTACTTTTTAAAATAAAATTTTTTAAGGCTGTTTATGAAAATTATTTATGAATTCAGAATTTTCTCAAAGTTTGAAGTTGAAATAGTACAAAAGAATTCCAGTCACTTTTTAAAAATAAGATACTTTATAGAAAATGTATGAATTTTTATCTTAAAATGTTTTAAATAATTGAACTCGGTACTATCAAAGATGTTGCAAAAAGTATGGTTATCCCTGTTGAAAATTCCTATGTGAGAACACATATGGGATCCCATCCAGGATCTCTTGTGAGTTCTTATGTGGGTTCCCGTACAGGTTCACACATAAGATCCTGTATGAAAAGGTTCCTGGGATGAACTTGCGTGAGATCAAGCGCACGATCTTATGTCTCTGTAAAAGCAATAACACAGGATCCCATGAGGTTTCCTGTGTAGGTTCCTATATGAACAACACGATAAATAGGAACACACATGGGATCTTATCCGAGATCTTGTATGAGTTCTTACATAGGTTCTCACATATAAGAAGATTAATAGCAGCTTAATAAGATTTTATAGAATGCTTTTATATATATGCTATTAATCTTCTTATATGTGAGAACCTATGTAAGAACTCATACAAGATCTCGGATAAGATCCCATGTGTGTTCCTATTTATCGTGTTGTTCATATAGGAACCTACACAGGAAACCTCATGGGATCCTGTGTTATTGCTTTTACAGAGACATAAGATCGTGCGCTTGATCTCACGCAAGTTCATCCCAGGAACCTTTTCATACAGGATCTTATGTGTGAACCTGTACGGGAACCCACATAAGAACTCACAAGAGATCCTGGATGGGATCCCATATGTGTTCTCACATAGGAATTTTCAACAGGGTGTTACCCAGTACAATCAAGATGTTACTCCGTACAATCTAGATAGTAACAGATAGAATCTAGATAGCTGTTCGTATATATTAGATCAAATATGGTACCTGGTACTTTCTAGATAGTACCCCGTACCATCTATTTCTCTCCGTGTTTTTGTGTTTATTTCATAAACATTTTGCTTCCCCATGGAGATTTTTTGTCATCAATTTATGGTAACTTATTTAGTAATATAATAATTTTTTAAAAAAAGTGTTAAGTTGTAGTTTCTGGCTGTTTGCAGAGATTGATTTTTAACGTCAATAACTTCGTAATATTTTATAAAAAAAGGTTCAAATAATAGATCAATGAAAAAAAATTTAGGGGGTCCAGAACATAAAAATCATCCTGGATAAATGTCAATGCATTTTTTTAAAATTATGTGCAAAAAAGAATTTTTTTAAATTTTAGTTCAAATAATAATAGTTAATCTTTATTAGTATGGTTTAAAGTACTCTCATTATTTGTCCGCCTGTGAAACCTACAATTTAAAAACAAAAAATATGGGTAAGTCCACGTCAGAAATATCAGAATCTGCAAGTGGTTCTTCGATTTTAATGATACTTTGTAAAATTATAGCTTCATATAAGAGCAATGTGTATAAGTAAAAAGAATTTTTAAAATATCTAAAATTGTAGGAGTTGTATCACTTTCAATTTTTATACAGCAATTTTTTCTTTCCTTTAGATCTCAGTTAATTTTTAACTGATTTTGGTGAATCAAAAACAATTTTTTTCGGAAAATTACGAATTTTCAAAAAATTATTAAATAAAATTTTCTTATTATTATAGAAAAAAGTGAAAAACAAAATTTCTTTTAGAGTTTTTATCAATTTCGACCCCCTTTTTTTTAATTTTTTAATAAGATTCATTTTTATTTCATCTTTAATTTAAAAAAAAATCATTCTGGAGACTTTTTGAGATCTTGAGATATCGTTTTTTGAATATCATCATTTCAAGGAGAATTAGGATCCACATTTGTCTTTCTATACTTTCATATGTTTTATAATATTGTTACAAACTAGAAACAATAATATAAAACAAATGAAAGTATAAAAAGACAAATGTCGATCCTAATTCTCCATGAAATGATGATATTCAAAAAACGATATCTCAAGATCTCAAAAAAATCTCCAGGATGAATTTTTTTAAATTAAAGATAAAATAAACAGGAATATTTTTAACCCTAGAAAGCACATCTGGGGTAGAAAACAACCCCAGAAAAAATTCAAATTTCGGTATTTTTGGCAGATTTTGTGATTTTTATTGTGGTTTTTGTAATTTTTTGGACATATTTTTGATCCTATAAAAAAACAAAAAACGCTATCTTCTTCCTTATAAAAAAAGGAAAAAAATTATTTATAATAAATTTATTTTGCGCTAAATAAATTAAAGCTTGAATCCTGTACTTTACGACGATATAGCGATATTGACCACAAGAAATTAAATTAACTGTCAAAAATGTATTTTTTAAGTTGTCAAGCATAAAAATTGACTTACAAATGTTCGTAAATATAACTATTTAAAAAAATACTTGGATTCGCTTGGAATTTGTCATTCGGGTTTTCGGGGTCGCGGAGTACAAATATGATGTCAGATTTTCAAAATTTAAAATGGCAGATCCAATATGTCGGATTGAATCGATTTTTAAAAGAGTCGTCTGCCTTATTAGATCTGCCATTTTAAATTTTGAAAATCTGACATCATATCCGTAATCCGCGACCCGGAAAGCCCCCGAGTGACAAATTCCAAGCGAATCCAAGTATTTTTTAAAATACGTGTATTTACGAACAGTGTGAGCAAATTTTTTATGCTTGACAACTTAAAAAATCCATTTTTTACAGCTAATTTATTTTGTTGTTGTCAATATCGCTATATCGTAGTGAAGTACAGGGTTCAAGCTTAAATTTGATTTTAAAACTGTAATTTAATGTTTTTTCATAAGTTAAAGAATGAAAGTCAATATATTTTTTTCTATACTTTTTTTTACCCTGAAAGCTACTATGTACTACTATTTATTTACTAACTAAGGAGTGTAAAGTCTGATATTTTGATATCTTTTTGAAAGTTTCCATTATAAATATTCTCTTACATTTATAATTTAAGAAATAGAAATAATGACTTCTCCCTGATTTTCACACGGAGAGACACGTAGGAGTAATTTTTATAAAATGTAACACTATGTTTTACTATTTTGCTTTGCATAGTCCGGAAATAAAGGACTTTTATGAAAATGTATTACAGTAATTGAGAATTTTGTTTATTTTAATAATAATTTATCTCTTTTAAAGTAGTAATTTTCAATATTTTGTATCATAGAAAGGAAAAACTAGAATATGAGTTATCTAATTATAAAAGACAATTTTGTCTTTTTGATATTAAAGTATAATGTAATTTAAAAGGTTGTGTTTCAGAAGATACTTTTCATTGTAGTCATTTTTAGTGACCCGGCAAATGCTTACTCGGCGCGAGTTTTTCTATTGGCTACTAACATAACTAGGTATAAACTAACTATATAAATGAAAATCCAAACTTCCCAGATAGCACGTTATTTCGCGGCGAGTTCGCAACGCGAAGTTCGGTAACTCGCATTGCGAACTCCCTGCGAAGTAATGGTGAATATCAAAATGTCCTCCTACTGGCGAGTTCGCAAAGCGAACTCGCCGAGAAGTTGCAATAAGGTTATTCAAGTTCAGGCCTGTTCAAGTTGGGTGTGGGAAAGCCAAGATGGATGATTGCTGGTGCACAAACATCCGGCCTATCAGCCTATCAGCATTCATTCCCACGAGAAATACGTGGAAATGTGTGCTGATAGACCGGATGTTTGTGCACCAGCTTGGCTTTCCCCCACCCAACTTGAATAACCTTATGCGAACTAACTGAAAAGTATAAATGCGAACTAACTAAAAAGTATATATGCGAACTTGCTAAGAAGATTAAATGCGAATTCGTTGAAAAGTTCAATTGCTAATTAACATGAGCAATTTTAATGCGAATTTGTTAAAAATTTAAAATGTTAATATAAATGAGAAAAATTATTTGTTTTGTCTTTTTTTGGGGTTTCACTTTTCTTTTTTTTCTTTAAATTTAACTTTTTTATTTTAATTTTGCAAACACACGCAAAAGATAACGTTTAATAAATTAGTTTCAAAAATTATAAAAATATTGCTGTTTCTTATGTCTTTCCCATCCTATCCTTTTAATATCCATTTTATTATTCAATTATTTTCTCAGAAATTTCTCATTTATATTAACATTTTAAATTTTTAACAAATTCGCATTAAAATTGCTCTTGTTAATTAGCAATTGAACTTTTCAACGAATTCGCATTTAATCTTCTTAGCAAGTTCGCATATATACTTTTTAGTTAGTTCGCATTTATACTTTTCAGTTAGTTCGCATTGCAACTTCTCGGCGAGTTCGCAAAGCGAACTCGCCAGTAGGAGAACATTTTGATATTCAACATTACTTCGCAGGGAGTTCGCAATACGAGTTACCGAACTTCGCGTTGCGAACTCGCCGCGAAATAACGTGCTATCTGGGTTATAATGAAAAATATAAATTATATAAATTTAATTTCTAATAAATAAATAATTAATAAAAAATTTGAAACTTCCAGTCATTTTTGTAAATAAAATATCTTTGGTTTGAATAACATTGCAGAATAATGAATTTTAAATTTCGCGCCATTTTCTTCTTAATAGATGGCATCTTCATTTTTGTATCTCGCGAGTGGTAACAAGAACTTGTGATTAATATATAAAAACAGTGAGAAAACTGAGAATAGTATATATGTATTGCGTTCTGGTATATTTAGATTGCGTATAGCGAATAATGTAGTTTAGGTTAGATATAGTTATTCGCATGTAAAACCGTCCGATGCGTGAATGTGTATGTATAATATAAGTATAAGTTCTTAATGTTCAAGCGAGTGCCTCCTTGTGTTAGTGAATAAGAAAATGTCAAATAATACATTTACGTTTTTCTTCCATTTTACTTTTGACAGGTAGTATATTTACAAACGACTGTAGTAATTTTCCGTAGACGCTCCATCTGAATTTACTATAGTTTTTTTCCAAATACTGCACTCGTTTCTAACAAATAATAAGAAACTTTGAACATTTTTTCTTATGATAAACAGTATTTGGTTACAAATGATGGTCTTACGGTTTTACTATAGGATATAGTAATTTTTTCAAAAAAATGTTGAGGTAAATGTAGTACTTTTAGATATTATTTTTAAAAAACGTAGTAATTTGTTACACATTTGTAGATTAATACTAAAAATAGTAAATATTACAAAAAGTCCCTTATTTCCAGACTATGCAAAGCAAAATAGTAAAACATAGTGTTACATTTTATAAAAATTACTCCTACGGGTCTCTCCGTGCAGCTTTTTCTTAGATATAGAATGAGACACAAAACTAGAAAAATGTTCAAGGTTAAAAAGTGAAATAACCTTTAAAAAACAATTTTATCTATTTTAGTATCGATAGTCTCAAAAGCGTGACTTTAAATGGGTTTTGGACGAAAGCCAATGTATCGTAATCCCCACCGCGTAAGAAAAGCACACAACGTAATTTTTAAGTCAAATGAGATTTGTGGAATATTCTTTTAATTTTTAGTAAAATACGTATATTTTCAAAAACTCAGCAGGAGTTAATTAAAAGTCAGTGAAAATAAAGTAATTTACTTAAAAATATCTTCACTCTTGTGTTATCAGTAGATACAATAAAAGAGTGTATTTCCTGTATTGTACTATTTTGTCATCTAGCTTTTTAATTTTTTGATGCTTTTAATCTTTCTAAAATCCATGATTAAGAAACATTTACACTTTTGTGTTAGGACTTAAGAAGAAATAAAAAACATTTTCTACAACATAACAAATAATAAATTCAATAAAATTCATTTCATTATATACTTTTTTTGAAATGTACTAATAAATTTATTTAAGAAAATTATTATTTAGTTTTTTAATTAAATAAATAATTTCATTTAACAAAAAGAAAAAATTAGTTTTATATACATTTTATTAAACGTACCGTCCATCCTGTTTTATCAACACCATTCTCCATATTTTCTGAACCGTTCGTTTGCATTGTTCCGAAACCGTGACAGAATCCGGCCTCGTTAGAAAACTTCAGAAACGGTATATCACTAATACCACTGTCTTTCAAAGATCTTTACAGAGAAAATTGTAACTTGTGCTTCTCTTTGTAATAAAACTCTGAATGAATGCCTAAAAAGAAAAAATTTCATTAATTACTTTGTCTATTTTTTTGTATTTAAAAAATTTTCATATGTCATATGTTGCATTTGAAAATATTATTAAATTCAAGTTCAAATATCGATTAAATGCTTTCCTTAAAATAAAAATGATATTTAAATCAATATAATTTAAATTAAAGACTTTTCTCTCTGCATTTTTCAAATCTTTAACTGCATTTTGTAAAAATTTTGTCCAATTTATATATCTAGAATAAAAGACAGTAAAAGATAAAAAATTAAAGATAATAATAAATAAAAAGTAATCGGACAATTGCGCTTGTAACCCGTACTAAAACCTATTATAGGGTAACTCATAAACATACACCATAACCCCCACAGCACCGAAACTTTCCTAAAGATTTATTTGAAATGTTCGGAATATTTAATTGCAATGTTTAGTGAAAATTGTGTACAGATTTAAATGTCCCGATTAAATAAATGTTTAGTGTGAAACTTTCCTGAACATTTATTCAAGTGGGACATTTAAATCTTTACACAATTTTCACTAAACATTGCAATTAAATATTCTGAACATTTCAAATAAATCTTGAGGAAATCTTTAGGAAAGTTTCGGTGCTGTATGGGGGAATACTAAATTTTAGATCTATATATAATATAATAATAATATATAATAAAATAAAATAATAAATATATAATATACCTATTTTATAATAATTATTGACAATTACACAGACCCACAAAAAAGTATTATGTGCGCCTGACCCGAGTATCCTACCCCCATGTATTTTAGTGCGCTGAATACAAATCTGAGGTCAGATTTGCTCCATCACATTAGGATTTTTTCTAATCTCAAAAAAACATGTCAGATTTTAAGTAAAATACAAATTTTTTAAAAATTGGTTGGATTCACTTAAAAACGAAGCTGAATTACGCAACGTTTATGGTAAACGATTTTTAAAGAAATAATTTTTTAAAATGAAATATTCTATAATTTTTTGCCTAAAAAATATTTCTTGTAGTTTTCATTAATCAACAAATTATAAAAAAATATTTTTTAGGCAAAAAGTTATTGAATTTTTCATTTTAAAAAATTATTTCTTTAAAAATCGTTTATCATAAACGTTGCGTACTTCAGCTTCGTACTTAAAACTCCTTCCATGGGAGTTTTTGGGATCGCTGATTACGAATATAAAGTCAAATTTCCAAAATTCAAAATGTCGGAACAGTATGGCATAGGAATTTAATTTTTTTTTTTAATTTTCAAGTTACTTGGTATCTAGGGGTTTTCGACGACCCCAAAACCCCCGAGGAACGAGTTTTAAGTGAATCCAAACAATTTTTAAAAAATTTGTATGTTACTTAAAATCCGACGTGTATTTTGAGGTTAGAAAAAACTCCTGATATGAGCAAATCTGTCCTCAGATTGGTATTCAGTGCATCAAAATACATGAGGGTAGGGTACTCAGGTCAGCCGCACATGATACTTTTTTGTGGGGCTGTGTTATTTACTTTTACAATTATTGTAAAATGTAAGACTTCAAAAATTTGGGTGTACTCCCAAAGTAGAGGTACCTCCGATTTTAATAAAACTTAGTGTACTAACGTATTTTGGTGCGCTGATTACGAAAATGATAATGAAAATTGGAGCAAATTTGATTATCATGGTAAAAACCATAAAAAAAACATCATAAAATCATGGTTTTTTGTGATTATCTCGTAAAAAAGCAAAATTTCAAAAAATGTTTTAGAAAAAAGTTGTAGGTCTCAAAAAACACACATTTTATCTCCTATACATTTTTTACCAAAAGTGATTATTTTTCGAGAAAAATCCAAAAAATCATAACTAATGAGCCGCTGAATTCTAGAAGGGCATACGTAAATTTTTTCGGCCGGAAAGCAAAGTCCCATGGACACTCAAAATTCATTTTTCGAATTTTAATATTTTTAAAGCATATTCTTATACTGAATTCGATTGCGCATCTTTTTCTCTTAATAAAAAGCAATCTAGAAAGCGTCTAGCATCGCTAGTCTGGAAGATCTAGCTTGGCCCAGTTCTGGTGCTACTCAGACACTAGTCAGACCCTGAATAGCGTCGCTAGTCTGGAAAGTTTAGCCAGACCCAGATCTGATGCTAGACAGAAGGTCTAGATAACTAAAAATTTTTATTTTTTAATTTCTAGACTCTGTCTAGCGATGCTGGTCTGAAAAGTCTAGCCAGACCCAGCTCTGATGCTGTCCAAAACTAATAGATAATTAAAATTTTTTTATTTGTTGACATGACAACATAATTAAGATTAATCGGATTTTTCAATTTTTTTGTCATTTAATTTAAGCTTATATATTTTATTTACTTTTTTAAAAAAGAAAATTTTATACAGTGCGGTCTCGTAACTGCAACATTTGAAACTGCAACAGTTTCGTTACTGCAACACCCCACCTCGACCACCGGACTTGAAACTGAAACGTGACGTCGGCAGCTTTCAGTGCCGTATCTACAGCGGAAAATGAATATCAAGTATTCATAAATAAAAATGAAAAAAAACTCTAAAATTGTTTTATAATTAAAATTTAAAATAAAATTGATAAATAAAATAAATTATAAAATATATAAAATAAATAAATATATAAATAATTATAAAAATATAATTAAAATTTAATTATGTAATTATTAAATGTTTCATATAAATATAAAAGTTTGGTGTCATTTTTAAAATATTAGTGATATATAATATGCAAATTGGATTTGATATTCATCTTCTGCGTAGTAATTAATAAATAATAATAATACATATATTTGAAAATATAAACACCTCTTAATAGATTTCAATACACACAAATGAAAAGTGTTTTCATTGAATGATGAAGCAGTTTCAGTGACTGTTTCAAATCGGAATAGTTTGGATGTCCGGTAAATTTTAGGAATTATTGAAAAAATTTTATGAAATATAACTTGTGCGCAAAAAGTGACTCAAATTTTGGATAAAAAGTATAATTGCCATCAATAGTAAGTATTAATAAATAATTAAATATTAATTCAATGTAAAACTTTACTTAATTCACTATATAAAAAAACACATTAGTAATGAAAATATAAATAATATAGTTTCTTTGTAAACACTTTTTTTCCATTCAAATAAATCCTTTTTTAATTTAATTAAACTATTTTTCAATATATTATTAAAAATAAACAAAATAGTTTTATCAATATGTTAGTATACAAAAACCTTGAGTCCAAAATTTTTTTCTCTAAATGAAAAATTGTTACCAAAGATTTTCTTTCTCTGAATCGAAAAATGTTTTCTTTAAATAAAATAATTTTTAATTATGAAGATTTTTAATTTTTAATAATTTTTTTCTAAATTGAAAAATTTTTTTTTAATCAAATAATTTTTGTATAAACCAAAATTTCTTCAAATTGAAAGATTTTATTCGTCAAATCAAAATCTTAATCGATTAAAATAAAAATACTTTGATGTCAATAAACATTGTTCTTCTTTTCTTCGAGAAACACTCGTAAATTTTACAGAAGAATTTTTTTCTCGCGCGTTTGAAAATTTTAAAAATAAGTATTGTATTTATTTTCATTATTTATTTATAATAATTATTATTATTTATTTTTCAAATTTATTATTTAATTATTACTTTTTTGTATTTTTATCAAACAATTTTTTATATTTTCAGAAAATGTCAGAAAAGTCTCAAAAATATAAGTGGCTTTCTTTAGAAGATCGTCAAGAAATTTTGGAAAGTTTCAAGTTACATGAAGAGAAGGGTATTAAAATAAATTATGCCGAAATTGCGAGAAAATACAACGTTACGCGGTCAACAATTTTTAGAATGAGAAATATTTCTCGTCTACAATTGGATAATACTGTTCACGAAAAACGAAAAAAAATGTCAAAAATTTCGATTCTTGAGGACGTGCTGTACGAATGGTTTAAACAAAAAAGAGTAGCTGGACAAATGATAACATCTCCAATTTTGCAAGAAAAGGCATTATTAATCAATAAAGAAATGGACGCTGATCCCGAATTCAAAGCCAGTAAAGGATGGTTGACAAATTTTAAAAATAGGTATAACATTCGCTCTATTACAATGCAAGGAGAACAATTGTCCGCTGATTTTGAGAGCTCTGTCGAATTTGTAGACGATTTAGCATTGGTAATGCGCGAGGAAAAATTTGAATTACATCAAGTGTATAATGCGGACGAGACTGGTCTTTTTTGGAAAATGATGCCTCGGGCAACCTTTGTCACCGAGTATGAAAATAAAGCTGAAGGCTCTAAAATATCTAAAGAACGCGTAACTGTCATGGTTTGCGCGAATGCTGATGGCAGTCACAAAATCCCTCTGTTTGTAATTGGTAAATCCAAAAAACCTAGGTGTTTCAAAGGTATTAAAAAATTGCCAGTTGTTTACCAAAACCAAAAAAGTGCATGGATGACTCGCGATTTGTTCAAAATTTGGATAACTGAAGTATTTATAACTTCAGTAAAAAAATTTCAAGATAAGAAAGGAAAATCATACAAGGTCTTATTAATTCTGGATAATGCGAAGTGTCATTTATCTAAAGAAGACATAGAGTCTCTTTCCGATATTTGTACTGTAAGTATTTTTAAATATTTCTTTTACAATTTTATATATATACTTTAAATTAAAATTATTAACTAATGAAAATATTTTATTTCAGGCTTTATTTCTTCCTCCAAATGTAACTTCTCTTATTCAACCTATGGATCAGGGAATTATAGCTAAGATGAAAAGGCATTATAGAAGAAGCCTGTTGAGGGACATGCTTTTGGAAAAAAATGAAGAAAGTCTTCTACAGTACATAAAGGGTTTAAATGTGCTTAATTGTTGCTCTCTTATCGCATTGGCATGGGAAGATGTAAATGCGACAAATGTTTCTCGAGCTTGGAGGAAGTTGATACCTTCTTGTGACATTGATATTGAAGCTAGTAATGTTTCTGTCGATGATATTCTACAAATTTTGTACAGACTTCCTGGTTACCAGGACATTAATATCCAAAATGTTCTTTCTTGGCTTGAGGTAGATAGTGATGAGACTGGTTGGAGTTTAGAAAGTATTCATCAGATTTTACAACGGTAAAAATTGATTTTTTTTAAAATTAATAACAAGAAAATGTTTCATTAAAAAAAATCAATCATCTTTATTATTATTCATTATTAAAATTATTTTATTGCTTTAAAGTAATGTTTTTAATTCAAACAATGTTTTCTCTGATTTAAAAAAAAAATTCTGAATTTCTGCTTTATAAATATTTTATTAAATTTATTTCAGTTATTCTTCTGGAGTTGAATCTTCAAATAAGGATAATGGCGAAGAACAAATGACTGAAGATTTAGAATCTGAGGAAGATATGGAAGATATTGATCCAATTTCAGATTCCGGAAATATTGTTACGGAAGCAGATGAAGCTCTAAAATGTTTAAATACTTTTCAAGAATGGTATCAAAGGCAGTGGAACTGTGATTCCAAAAGTTTAATATTCCTTCAAAGATTGAAGAATGAGACTAAGGATGTTGTGGCTCATGTGAGAAATTTATTTTTAGACGACAATACAAAATAATATTATGTATATGGAGAATGTTGCAAAAAAGGAATGACGTGTACTCATAATATTATGTATTTTTTAAAGAATGATTTTTTCTTGATTCATAAAATGCTTTAACATAATAAGAAAAAAGAAATTCTCTGATTTAAAAAACTAAATTTAAATTTTAACGATTTTATAATTTTAAAAGATTATTTATCAGTATTTTTTTTCAGATTGTAATAAAAAGTTTAGTGTTTCTCGAGGTTGATGTTTTAAATGAAAATTGTTCATTGAAACAAAAAATATGTTTAAAAATTATTGTTTGAATATGGTATAATAGAAACAATAAAATATATTTAAAACAAATAAAATAATGTACTTTTTAATATACTAATTAAATTAAACATACAGAATATTTAAATTAAATTTAAATGTATATTATAGAATGTATAACAATTATTTTTAATATTTATTTAATTTATCTGATAAGATAAACAAAATTTTGATATAAGCAAATTTTATTAACAAAATTAAATTTTTTAAAGGATTTTTGTCATTTTTTCCCAAAAATTTTTTTAAAGAGAAATTCAAAGTGAAAGTATGAAAGTAGTCCGTTTTTCAGGGGTCTTAAATTTTCTCGCGTATAGTAGGTATGTACGTCCCTGAAATGGTAGGTAGTGGGATATGTTGCAGTATCAAGTCCGAAAGAGTGGGAAATTTCAGAGAATGTTGCAGTTACGAGACCGCACTGTATTAAACAATTGTTTAATATAAAATTACTATTACATTAATTCAATTACAAAATTATTAATAATAATAATAAAAAAGTAATTCTTCTAACTTTTTTTTATATTGAAAACAGTATAACTATTATTAAATAGTTAAATTAAGTAAAATTAATAACATAAATAAGATTCTTATCATTGTAGTTCATATAGACAATTTGAAAAAAAAAATTCCAGTTGACTTAGCCGCGGTCGTTAAAGCGTTAGGTTAGGTATAGGGTCGTGAGTTCGATCCCTGTGAGTGGTAAATTTTAATTTAATTCTTGAAAATTAATGTTAGACGTGCAAGTGTACTGAGTTAATAAGAATTGTGGATAATATTAATTTTTATTGTATGCGCAATTTTTTAAGTTCACAAATATAATGAATTGTTCTTATAAGTTAAATCAATTAAAGTTAATTGAAAATGATGGTCATCTGCCCAGCGCCAGGTCAGACTGTCTGGACAGCGTCTGACCGCTTCTAGCGTTACACTTTTGACCAGCCGCTGGCTAGAGTTTCTGGGCAGCTGCTAGTCTGGAAACTAGGCGGTCTGGCTAGAATCAGGCCAGCCCCAGAAGATTTTTCTACACGGGAAACTGGTTTTTTGGAAACGTAAAATTTAATTGTTTTTTTGACTTCAATTCGCGCTAGCTCAGTCAATTTTACGAGTTTTTCAATGAAACAAAAACGAAAATACGTGTTATTATATCCTACGAGTGACTAAAAAAGGAAAAAGTTGTTTTGATTAAAAATAAAAAAGTTATTATTTTTTTATTGAGACATTGCGAAATTCGTGATGTGCAATTTTCTCAATGCGGAGAAGTTCGACAAATTTTCAGCAGCAACAAACTTCCAGTGAGAAAGTTGTTCATTAAGGTCCAAAGAAGTTTTCTGGAAAACCATGAAAACTAATACATAATATACCAATCAGTCATTGTATGTGATCCCCCCGCCAAAGTTTCTTTAAAACGCAGAGTAGAACTTGACGCAGCCTAAGGCCGCGTACATTGTGTTGCGTAAACTGCTACTGAGGATCCCATCCAAATTTGTCCGCAGAATACTTTTGGCTATATTCGACCTCCCCCCTGCCAAGGATTCTTTGAAATATGAACAGAAAAGAACCTTACGCTGCCGAAGGCCACGTCATCATGTTACCTGAACTGGTGCTAATGATTACACACAACATTGTCCGCAGAATACTTTCGGCCATATCCGACCCCCCCACCGAGGTTTCTTCAAAATACAAACAGAGAAGTACCTTACGTGTCCGCACTATTTTTCCATGATTTTTATGTTAGTTATGGTTTTTAGAATTTTCTCTGAAAAATTATCACTTTTGGTAAAAAATGTACAAGAGATAAAATGTGTGATTTTTGAGACCTACAACTTTTGTCTAATACATTTTTTGAAATTTTGCGTTTTTTACAAGTTAATCGCATAAAAATCAAACTACGTTAGTATACTTACAAGTACCAAATTTCTTTAAAGTTATGATGTGCACTGGTTCTCATCATTTATTTTGATTTTTATGGTTTTTTGGATTTTTCTCGAAAAATAATCACTTTTGGTAAAAAATGTATAGGTTATAAAATGTGTGGTTTTTCGAGATCTACAAGTTTCATCTAAAACATTTTTCAAAAAATTTGTGTATTTTACGAGTTAATCGCACAAAACCATGATTTTATGGTGTACTACGATAATCAAATTTGCGCAAATTTTCACTATTCAATACGTTAGGATACCAAGTTTTATTAAAATTGGAGGTACCTGCCGTACACATTAAAAAGATGCCTCAACACCATTGTCGCTTAGGTTGATTTTCTCATGTTTATACTATAGTAATGACGAGCTTAGCGACAATGGCGCTTGATTTTTTTTTAATCTGTACGACAGAATACTCCAGAGTACCAAATTTTAGATCTTTTAATTAAAAATGTTAAAATTTAAGGAAGCAATAATTAAAATTGTAAGTGAAAGTTCAAATTTTAAGTTTTTAAGAATTTCGAGTTCTATTTAAAAATTATTAACAGAGTTATATATTTTTTTTAAAGTTTTTTTTCATAACATATTATATTTTTAAATACTCAATTTTATCAGAAAATAAATTGACACCACTAAACAGCATAAATTTCGATAGGTTGAAATTTCACTAGTGTTTTCCCTTAACCAGATGCATCTAGTAACTTCAACTAAAACTAGTGAGAAAACTAGTGATGCATATTGTTAAAAAGTTTCTAGTTATTTTAGCAAAAAAAATAGTAAATAAGGCTAGACGCAGTTTTAGTTAAATAATTCTAGTTAATTTCTGTTAAGATCAACTAGAATACAGTATGTTAATAAATAACCAAACAATTTTTTACTAGAAATATTCAGGTTTGTTTAAGAAAAATTTCTTATTAAATTGATCAGAAATGTAACCAGATTTCCTAATGTTTTTAACCAGAATAAGAAGTAAGGATATCAAGGTGGATCGGAACTAACTTCAGTCCAAAGGTTTTGACACTTCAAATTTGTTTGTAAATTTCCTTTCTAAAATGTTTTCTGAGTAATTTAAGACCAGAAATAAAAAAAATCGTTAAAAAAATTTGTTAAGAAAGTTATTATAATTCAAAATTTGTTGCCAAATAATAATTATTTAACTTTATCAGTTTGTTATTTAAATGTAGTTGAAAAATGTACTTTTTATCCATTTTTTATAAATAATCCCAGTAAAAAAAACTAATTAAAGTGAATTGACTTTTGGTTGAATTCGTCTGAATCCCGCTTACTTATTTGTCACGACGAATTGAAATGAATAGAAATAAATTCTCAATGGCTGTCTACGCCGTTGCCAATGATTGGCAATCAATAATAAGCCAATATTAAAATTAAAAATTTTAATAATTTAAAAAATCAATTATTTATTAAAAGTATACGGGCAGTGCCCATTCGTACAGTGTACTATAATACGATAATCCTAATTTAAACAAAATTAATCAGCCGCGCTAACATTATTGTTCCTATCATACACAAAATTACGCAGTTCAATTATAAACTTATTTAAAGAAATACCAAAAAAGTTAACACTCGTACTACACTGATTTGCCTCCTTACACAGGACTCCTTACACTTATTTGCCTTAAAAAAAATTATTTTTTTATTTTTATTATTTTTTAATAGTTATTATTATTTTTACGGTTTTTACGGTAAATAATTTTTATAATTTTCATACTTTTATATTTTAATTAACCGTACAAAAAGAAAAATGTAAAATAATGATTTGTATTTAAGTTTTATAATAAAAAATTTTCAGTTTCTGAAGAGGGCGGTTGTACCGTCGAAACGTTAAAAAAGGATTTTAAATTTATTTATTTGACTTGGAGGATTGATATATTCCTATATATGTATTAATATTTTACCGAGTGATAAATTCTGTTATACTGAGTTATTATTATTATTTTATATTTAATAATTAAATAAAAATAAAAAAAATGGTCATCACAGTATTAGTGAAACCATTTCTTCCAAAAAAAAGTTTGCCTCACATCCTAATAAATAGGAGAGACATCGAGCAGAAAAATATTTCAAGGAGAAAAAAATTTTAGTTCACTTTTTATATACAAATCTAGTGGCACGTCAATCCTTTTTCGTTTACTGGGATAGCTCATTTTTCTTATTCCAAGATTCTCTACGATTCTGTTTGTTATTTAAATAATATTTGGTAACAAAATTTAACAAACAAAATTATAGAGAATCTTTCGAAGTACAAAATGAGCTCTTGTTTTTAAACATTGGATAAAAATTATAATTGTTTATTAGCTTTAATAAAAAAAGAAAAAAAATGTTAATAATATTTACAACTAAATTGTTCAAAATTTGATTAAATCAAAACAATTTTAATTGCAGTTTATTCGTTGTTTAAAACGACATTTTTGTTTAAGGTTACTTAGGGAACATTCTAGAAATGAAATTCACAAGAAAATTGGAAGTGTAAAAACCTTTGGGTTGTACTTATTGTTAGTTCCAATCCATCGTGATATATTTAACATTTTATTGTTGTTAGGCTAATCAGAATTTTATTTATTCTAACCAGACATTTTATACAGTGCAAATTTTTATCCATAAAACTTATAAGTATACTAAACTAGTGCTATTATTGAAACTGTGAAAAGGAAGACAAATGCTATTTCTTATAATTTTGAAATTTGAGTTGGGAATAGTGGAATTTAATTAATTAGTGGTAGTAAATAGAACATTAACGTTTGCATAGTATATACGTTTTACTTGGATAAGTAAGGAAGTTGTTCAAGTA